GGCCAAACCATGCGTGCCTCAGAGGCATAGTCCTATCTTCACTCTACCTTCCGTCCAGTATATTCGCTTGGACGCATTATAACTTCCTGAAGAATCTACCTTTCTGAATGGGATCAAGACCGCCAGAAGCACCGAACCTTTTGCAGTCAAGCGCACATTAATTTTACTTACATCACGGAAGGCAGAAAAATATAGGTTTGAACCAAAAGAGTTTTTTTCTGATACCTCGTTTTTGACAAACTATAACTCCCTTCAAAGTGTGTTAGTACAAATAGTAGATATCTTGTAGCCACAGGCCAATGGTGCAAAAGAAGTTAAAAAGGACTCGAATAAAGAGTATCTGCAATAAGGAAAGAAATTAATTTCTAAGACTGCCACTTTTTTGCAGCACTTTTTCATAAGCCCTAAAGTTCCAGATTACGTTTATAAATTTTTGCGCAGTGAACACCTAGATGTTTTTGCGAAACCTGTCAATAGAATGCCTTACCCTTACGCTTTTTGAAATGAGGAAAGCTTTGGCGATTGCTTTCTTTGACAGAAGTCCATGGGCCTTAGAATGATCGCAACGATCACCAATATTGATGTGTCGATATCTCAGTTTGGATGGTATCAAAGATATTCAAGTGTGCATATTGTACACAATTTCCTTTACATATAGTAGCATATAGTAGATTTTTCTGAAAGTGCCACTGATTCGTGCTCAAATAATTGCTCTAGTTGATAGTTGCTTTCGAAAATGTGAGGGATCTGAACCGTTTACAGGCACTCTCAATAAATTCGCTACTACAGTTTTTTTTAGTCTTGCAACCAGAACTTTATCATTTTCCAGATCGCGCATTTTCGCAGGCTGTGGCCACGTCAAGAATTAATTGTTTACGATTTGGGCCTCAAACCGAAGTCGAAGAAGGAGTTACAAGTAAAACAGTGAAGAGGCGAGTATTTGCCTTTGTTTATTCACGTTTTTCAGGAAAAATGCTTAGTGAAAGTGCGCACTTTTCCGTTCGGAATTTACCCGCATTACGTACGCGATTTGACGCAGTACAGGTGGAAACCTCTTCTCATAGCGGTAAGTAGCTTGTTGCGATGTAGCAAAAAACAAGACTTTACCTCAAGACTATTTATTTTGAATATTATCTAAACTGCTTAAGATGATGTTGAAAGAGTTCGGAGCATTATGGTACATGGATACGTCTGTGCGATGGAAAAGCGATAGACGCGATATCGTGTACAGTGAAATCACCTGTCGTAACAAAACTTGGAAAACGACTTTTGCAAGTTGAATTATACTTTCATCAGAAATCGAAATCAAGTTATGAGCACGAAACCGGAGATATAACATT